CACACCACAGTAGTGTTGAGAACCTACCAGCACCACAGAAAGTGTTGAGAACATACCACAAACAGTAGTGCTAAGAACCTACCAGCACCAAAGTAGTGCTGTGAACCTACCAGCACCACAGTAGTGTTGAGAACCTACCAGCACAACAGTAGTGCTAAGAACCTACCAGCACCAAAGTAGTGCTGTGAACCTACCAGCACCACAGTAGTGTTGAGAACCTACCAGCACCACAGTAGTGCTGTGAACCTACCAGCACCACAGTAGTGCTGTGAACCTACCAGCACCACAGTAGTGCTGTGAACCTACCAGCACCACAGTAGTGCTGTGAACCTACCAGCACCACAGTAGTGTTGAGAACCTACCAGCACCACAGTAGTGTTGAGAACCTACCAGCACCACAGTAGTGTTGAGAACCTACCAGCACCACAGTAGTGTTGAGAACCTACCAGCACCACAGTAGTGCTGTGAACCTACCAGCACCACAGTAATGCTGTGGACCTACCAGCCCCACAGTAGTGCTGTGAACCTACCAGCACCACAGTAGTGCTGTGAACCTACCAGCACCACAGTAGTGTTGAGAACCTACCAGCACCACAGTAGTGTTGAGAACCTACCAGCACCACAGTAGTGCTGTGAACCTACCAGCACCACAGTAGTGTTGAGAACCTACCAGCACCACAGTAGTGCTGTGAACCTACCAGCACCACAGTACCGATAAGTAGAACCTCTAATACCCAAAGTTCTGTAGGAAGAAGTACAGTAGAAAGAGCAGTTGAGATTGAGGTTGTAGTAGTGCTACTCAGTAGAGTTGGATTGTAGCAGTGCTACTCAGTAGAGTTGGATTGTAGCAGTGCTACTCAGTAGAGTTGGATTGTAGCAGTGCTACTCAGTAGAGGTAGATTTTAGTAGTGCTACTCAGTAGAGGTAGATTTTAGTAGTGCTACACAGTAGAGGTAGATTTTAGTAGTGCTACTCAGTAGAGGTAGATTGTAGCAGTGCTACTCAGTAGAGGTAGATTTTAGTAGTGCTACACAGTAGAGGTAGATTTTAGTAGTGCTACTCAGTAGAGGTAGATTTTAGTAGTGCTACTCAGTAGAGGTAGATTGTAGCAGTGCTACTCAGTAGAGGTAGATTTTTGTAGTGCTACTCAGTAGAGGTAGATTTTAGTAGTGCTACTCAGTAGAGGTAGATTTTAGTAGTGCTACTCAGTAGAGGTAGATTTTAGTAGTGCTACACAGTAGAGGTAGATTTTAGTAGTGCTATTCAGTAGGGGTAGATTTTAGTAGTGCTACTCAGTAGAGGTAGATTGTAGCAGTGCTACTCAGTAGAGGTAGATTTTAGTAGTGCTACTCAGTAGAGGTAGATTTTAGTAGTGCTACTCAGTAGAGGTAGATTTTAGTAGTGCTAGTCAGTAGAGGTAGATTTTAGTAGTGCTACTCAGTAGAGGTAGATTTTAGTAGTGCTACTCAGTAGAGGTAGATTGTAGCAGTGCTACTCAGTAGAGGTAGATTTTAGTAGTGCTACTCAGTAGAGGTAGATTTTAGTAGTGCTACTCAGTAGAGGTAGATTTTAGTAGTGCTACTCAGTAGAGGTAGATTTTAGTAGTGCTACTCAGTAGAGGTAGATTTTAGTAGTGCTACTCAGTAGAGGTAGATTTTAGTAGTGCTTCTCAGTAGAGGTAGATTTTAGTAGTGCTACTCAGTAGAGGTAGATTTTAGTAGTGCTACTCAGTAGAGGTAGATTTTAGTAGTGCTACTCAGTAGAGGTAGATTTTAGTAGTGCTACTCAGTTGAGGTAGATTTTAGTAGTGCTACTCAGTAGAGGTAGATTTTAGTAGTGCTACTCAGTAGAGGTAGATTGTAGCAGTGCTACTCAGTAGAGGTAGATTTTAGTAGTGCTACTCAGTAGAGGTAGATTGTAGCAGTGCTACTCAGTTGAGGTAGATTTTAGTAGTGCTACTCAGTAGAGGTAGATTTTAGTAGTGCTACTCAGTAGAGGTAGATTGTAGTAGTGCTACTCAGTAGAGGTAGATTGTAGTAGTGCTACTCAGTAGAGGTAGATTGTAGTAGTGCTACTCAGTAGAGGTAGATTGTAGTAGTGCTACTCAGTAGAGGTAAATTGTAGTAGTGCTACTCAGTAGAGGTAGATTTTAGTAGTGCTACTCAGTAGAGGTAGATTGTAGCAGTGCTACTCAGTAGAGGTAGATTTTAGTAGTGCTACTCAGTAGAGGTAGATTTTAGTAGTGCTACTCAGTAGAGGTAGATTGTAGCAGTGCTACTCAGTAGAGGTAGATTTTAGTAGTGCTACTCAGTAGAGGTAGATTTTAGTAGTGCTACTCAGTAGAGGTAGATTTTAGTAGTGCTACTCAGTAGAGGTAGATTGTAGCAGTGCTACTCAGTAGAGGTAGATTTTAGTAGTGCTACTCAGTAAGGTAGATTTTTGTAGTGCTACTCAGTAGAGGTAGATTTTAGTAGTGCTACTCAGTAGAGGTAGATTTTTAGTAGTGCTACTCAGTAGAGGTAGATTTTAGTAGTGCTACTCAGTAGAGGTAGATTGTAGCAGTGCTACTCAGTAGAGGTAGATTTTAGTAGTGCTACTCAGTAGAGGTAGATTTTAGTAGTGCTACTCAGTAGAGGTAGATTTTAGTAGTTCTACTCAGTAGAGGTAGATTTTAGTAGTGCTACTCAGTAGAGGTAGATTTTAGTATTGCTACTCAGTAGAGGTAGATTTTAGTAGTGCTACTCAGTATAGGTAGATTTTAGTAGTGCTACTCAGTAGAGGTAGATTTTAGTAGTGCTACTCAGTAGAGGTAGATTTTAGTAGTGCTACTCAGTAGAGGTAGATTTTAGTAGTGCTACTCAGTAGAGGTAGATTGTAGCCGTGCTACTCAGTAGAGGTAGATTTTAGTAGTGCTACTCAGTAGAGGTAGATTTTAGTAGTGCTACTCAGTAGAGGTAGATTTTAGTAGTGCTACTCAGTAGAGGTAGATTTTAGTAGTGCTACTCAGTAGAGGTAGATTTAAGTAGTGCTACTCAGTAGAGGTAGATTTTAGTAGTGCTACTCAGTAGAGGTAGATTTTAGTAGTGCTACTCAGTAGAGGTAGATTTAAGTAGTGCTACTCAGTAGAGGTAGATTTTTGTAGTGC